TCATCCGAATCATCAGTCTTCTTTGCGTCTTCTTTTGCATCCTCCTTTGTTGCTCTCGCCTCAGCCTCTGTCTTCTCATTCTTTTCTTCTTTGGGGGCCTCGCCTGCAGGCTCCTCAGCTTCTTCTGAGCTTTCTGGGTCCGACCCTGCTTCATCCTCTGGGTCCTCGGCCTCCTCTGCCTCCTTGTCCTCATTTTGTGTGTCTTTTTCATCTTCTGACTTCTCTTCACCCTTTTCACTTGTCTCAGACCTTTGATCTTCATCAGCTGATTCCTCCTCACCATCGGAACTTTCATTCTTTCGCTCTTTGTTTGTTGACTCCTCGGCTTTCTCTTCATCCCCGCTCTCACATCCTAGTTGGTTGTCAGGGCTCTCCCGCTGGTCATTGTTTGTTTCAATAGTCTCCACGTCAGACTCCTCGTCCATCTCGGTTTCGTTCACCTGCTGTTCTGTGTTTGTTTTGTCTGCAGCCTCCGAGGGTTTGGTAACTTCTTTCCCGCCTTTTTTGCTCTTCTTGGAGTCCACCTGCGCAAAGTAGATTTGAGGTGTAAGATGATGTGGGGTTGTTTGGAAACACACCCTGCACCACAAAAACATTATGTCTAATAGCTTTTGAGACCAGCCTTATGTTGATACCACTTATCAAGGTTTTGTCTTGCTTCCATATAGTTTTCTTCAGCTTCTTTTTGGGAACCATCGACATTGTTTCTTGTATTGATGTAGGCCATTGCAGTTCTGCATTCCTGAATCAAAAGGTGTTCGTTCAAACCAGCGGGTTGGAAGTCCTTCGCCGACATCAACATTTGTGGTTGATGTGCTTCATCCTCAGGTCCATTCGCTTCATCCTCACCCGGGATGAACTCTAGACAAATGTCCGACAGAAGAAAAACACAAATTCAACAATTGAACCCAACAGAAAACATGGAATCCTCCAGTTCATCGTCAGTTCCGTCTTCCGATTCCCCCTCTTCATCGGGTGATTGGTCATCGTCATCTGCAAGTTCTCCACATTTGTTCCTTAGATGACGGTCACGGGATATACAATGTTCAACCTTTGAAAAACCTGTACGCGAGGGTGTCCACAAAACATTATGATTTTGATTGTTCCGTGGCACATGTCTTCTGGGTCCAGCTCCGGAACCTCATCAAAGGTCATACTCTCGAGCATTGGTTGGGTCTCCATGTCGTCCATTGAACTCCTTAGGGTCCAAATAGCTTTGGTTCAAAACGCACACCAAAATGAACAACCCCTCAAAAGAACAACACACCAAAACAAATCTAAAACATGCCTTTAAATTAAGTTCGCGGTCGATTTCGATGCTGATGTGAGGATCTGCTTGGTGTTTGGGGACTCGTAAAAATTGCCCTTCCGTAGTGATTTTTGGTGCCGTAGGAGAAGGTCGTGCACCTTGAAGGCCTGAGTGTCCAAAAGACATCTAATCACATGAGGTAGGTAGAATACTAGATAAACCTGACAATATTTACATTACAAGGTGCATTCTCCCTCACATATTCATCTTTTGTTGCATCATCCATGCCAGCACCTTGGATGGGTGCCAAAACAACGCACGATGTTGCACCCCACAAGATGCATTGATATTAAAGTGATACAGGGCACTGATACCAACCTTTTTGATGACCTTGCGAACCACAGCTCGAAGACGGGTTTCCCGTGGAACCCGGCCAAGCCCCGAAGCTTTGTAGGCACTCCTCAGCCATAGATTCTTCCTCAAACGAAGATCTCCACCATCAAGAAGGGAACCTTCATGCTTGCACCATTCAGGGACGCGCTTCACCATCTCTCGTTGTAGCTTCCTGAGGTGGTCCAGCGATTTTCCCAACCCTTTGGTTGCTTGGTAGCTCTCAAACATGTTTAATAAAAAAATGTTTAAAACAAAAATGCAACTAATCAAAACCGAAGCACATCAACTTTTCATTGATGGAATCCCCCATGGCTGCGCAATCACCTTTCCAAGGTACCTGAAGTCCTAGTTGTACTTGTTTCGATGGATGATTCATCCAAACCATTGGTTATGTTGTCTGGATTTGTGAGTATGACCATGGTTTCCTGATATTTTGTTAGAACTATCATGGTTCATCACCACCTGAGCCGCCAGGCCTACGGTGAGTGCCTTCCTGCGCCTGCAGCTTCCGGCAGCTGCTTTCGAGTCCGAAAAGACCCAGCACTGGTTCCAACCCAACTAACAACCAGGACACCCTTTGGAGTGCTCAAAACCATCCATGAAAAACCTCAAAATCTTAAGGGGTCACCAATTATGTTTACCTCTAAGGGGTCACCAATTAGCACTCCTTAGGGTGTCCTGGTATATATCTTATATCTTTATACCAGGCGAGACAGAATCTGCAAATGCCAGTTGAGACACAGGTAAATTTAGTGGGCCATATCAGAATCGAGCTGGGACCACTGGGACCACGCAAACAGGGACATGAAAACATATGCTATAGGTACTGTTCCTTGTCGTAATTCAATGATCAGTTCTGACCATGTGGTACTGGGAGCGACCCTGTTCCATCCCCTCACCTGAAGGTTTCATGCTAGAGATCCTCTCCTGTACTGCCAGTTCCTTTCTGTGGCAATTCACAAACCGAGACGAATTCGTTTTGTCACAGCTTCCGCTTCCAAGTTTTTGAAGCTGGGCCTCCACCAGGGACTCGGGATTCTCACCCGCGCTGACCTGCCCCATGGATTCCGGAAGAGGTGTTTGTGCTTGCATCCAATGGTGCTCACTGTCTCAAGCGCAGTGTGAACTTGAGTTGTGAAAAAGGAAAAGGACGGAATGTAAGACGAACAACAAAATCTCCTTCAGCACCACAGCCTCCTCGAAACTTGTTGCTAAGACGGCCCAAAAAATATATGACTGCATGCATTGCATGCATCTGTTTTTGGGGAGAACGAGTCTCTCTTTTGTTTCTCCAGTGTTTCTGCATATGTCTGCCTACTTGGACTGTGGACTCAAGCTTGGACGCATAAATACATTCCCCTCACACCGTCCATCTCATCTCAGAGTTCTACACAAACACCACAATTCGGGTCAAAGGATCCGTGATGCTCAAGGTGCACAGTCAGGTGATCCAGCCTTCAAAGTCTGTTCATCCAGATCTGCAATCACTTCGATGTACCTGCTGACGATCTACAAGGATCTGCTTGGTTGTTTGATGTGCTGGCAGTGTTGGCAGACAGGACTCAAGGTGAACGGAAATTGGGCGGCACCACTTTTGTCACGAGAAGCTGTCGAGTATGAGAACCTGTTCCGTCAAACCCATGATCTGTATCACGCGTCTCCAGTTTAAAGTGGAGTGATCTGTGTAGTCCTTCAAACATGGGCCTCTGTGCTTCCCTTGTTTGCCACATGTTCAATTTCTAGTGCTTTATACTTGGAGTCCAAAAAAATGGCGGGGTGTGCATGTAATGTTTGAACAGACTGCTTCCAAGTTCCTGTCTTTGTCCTCACACTTTTGAACACGAGTAGAAGTACCTGCTCGCTTTAAGTCAGGTGTTCCGTTCTCCAAGCTACAAAAAAGTACCTGCTTGCTTTAAGGTGTCCCATTCTGCAAGCTATTTAAAAATAAAAAATACGTGTGGTTCGGGATGGTTCGGCTCCTTCTCGCTATGTTCCGTCGCCAAAACGCGTCGAGCTCTGCAGCGTCGCACCTCTGGTAGAGCTCAGCGTCCGTCTGCACGCCATCGGGGCCGGTGACGATCCCCGGCGTCTTCACGCCCCAGTGCCCGTCGCGGGCCAGGTACAAGTCCTCAGCCCATCGGTCGGTGAAATGGTGCGGAGGTTTCTGGGAACCAGGAGGCTCAGAACAGGAAATGAAACGGCTGGATGGTTTTGGGAGTCAAAAATGAGTGGATCAGGGGTCCTCTGCTTGGCACACTCGACCTGAAATAGTCAATGTTTGAGGGTTCATTAATTGCTCTCCTGGTGACAGCTTCTTAGTCTTTACCTCTCTTTGTCAATTTCTACGGGAGTCGTTTTTCAGGTCAATCTTCTGATAAACAAATCCAAACCAACCAAAATCAGAAGAGCCAACCACCTGCTGCAGCAGTGCTGGTAAAAACATCAGCCAAAATCCCCCCTCTCGCCACCTTTCGAGTTTGAGGACCTCATAGACATAGACCGTAGACCCCTTCAACAACACCACACACTCCACAACAGTTCCTCCACGGCCTGTCATGGCCAAGGCACATCTCCTGCCTTCTCCGCCGGGATCGCGCCCACGATGAGCCGCTCGTTTCCTTCCAACGATTGGAGAAGCCTTGGACATTGGTCGGAT